CGTGTCCACGCCTTCGGTGCTGCTCCTGTAACTGTGAGTGGAGCGCTTTTTCTTTATTTTTCTCTCCTCTCGCGTGTTTGGCAAGGTCGCTCACGATTTTCTTCCATTGGGAGAGAGAGTGGCTCTGTGAAACACGCAGAAAGAGGCGGCCAAGCTGCTGTCGCATGGGCACGCAGAACAGAAACTATTCAATCGATCCACGCGAATCAGGTGGGGGAAGGGACCAGACATGCGCACGGATTTTAGGGTCACTCTGACTGTTCCAGAGTATGCCCCAAACGATTTCTTACCTACATGCCACTCGCCCCCCCCAAAAGAAACAAAAAAACGACACCGTTGCGGTTTGCTTAACCTATCGCTTTTTGCCGACATAACTAGCAAACTCATGCACTCGCACAAGACTTATACTGCGAGAATCTCATCAACTAGGTATGCTTACCGAGGAAGGAACATGGCGATGCTATGATTACTGTGCACTCTAATAAAAGCCCGTGCGTCTGCTTTCCCGCACACCACTCGGAGAGCCAATCACCGCAACTTACGGAGGCGGCTTTTTCTAGAGTGTGCAGCTCTGCCGTAGCCACACAAAAGCTGAAGAAACGTAGGGCGTGGTGATCTCATTATCATCTCGTTATCACTCTTCGGTCACTCGAAGTGCGGCATTGATTGATACGGACGTCGAAGAACCAATCACAACGCAAGAAGCGTGAACATAAAAAAGCCACGCCCCGCGCTTCTTAAGCTCTCTCGGTGACTCTAACGGACTCTTGCCTGTTCTGTACGTGGAGTTTGTACATTTAAAAAAAAAAAAACGTGCGTCTCCTTTCCCGCACAACACTTGAAGAGCCAATCACCACAACTTACAGAGGCAGCTCAGCGAGTAACGATGCCGAAACATATGTTTAGACCAAAAAACTATGTCTGAGTTGTGATATTAAGCAATGCAAGGGCGTGACGTTTTGCATTGCTTCATGTCACAACTCAGGCTGCGTTTTTTGGTCTAGACATATGTTTCGGCATCGTCATTCGCTGAACTGCACTCTAAAAAAAGTCTGTGCGTCTACTTTCACGCACACCACTCGGAGAGCCAATCACCGCAACTTACGGAGGCAGCTCAGCGAATGACGATGCGGAAACATATGTTTAGACCAAACAACGCAGTCCGAGTTGTGACATGAAGCAATGCAAAACGTCACGCCCTTGCATTGCTTAATATCACAACTCAGACAGAGTTTTTTGGTCTAGACATGTTTCGGCATCGTCATTCGCTGAACTGCACTCTAAAAAAAGTCTGTGCGTCTACTTTCACGCACACCACTTGGAGAGCCAATCACCGCAACTTACGGAGGCAGCTCAGCGAATGACGATGCGGAAACATATGTTTAGACCAAACAACGCAGTCCGAGTTGTGACATGAAGCAATGCAAAACGTCACGCCCTTGCATTGCTTAATATCACAACTCAGACAGAGTTTTTTGGTCTAGACATGTTTCGGCATCGTCATTCGCTGAACTGCACTCTAAAAAAAGTCTGTGCGTCTACTTTCACGCACACCACTCGGAGAGCCAATCACCGCAACTTACGGAGGCAGCTCAGCGAATGACGATGCGGAAACATATGTTTAGACCAAACAACGCAGTCCGAGTTGTGACATGAAGCAATGCAAAACGTCACGCCCTTGCATTGCTTAATATCACAACTCAGACTGCGTTTTTTGGTCTAGACATATGTTTCGGCATCGTCATTCGCTGAACTGCACTCTAAAAAAAGTCTGTGCGTCTACTTTCACGCACACCACTCGGAGAGCCAATCACCGCAACTTACGGAGGCAGCTCAGCGAATGACGATGCGGAAACATATGTTTAGACCAAACAACGCAGTCCGAGTTGTGACATGAAGCAATGCAAAACGTCACGCCCTTGCATTGCTTAATATCACAACTCAGACAGAGTTTTTTGGTCTAGACATGTTTCGGCATCGTCATTCGCTGAACTGCACTCTAAAAAAAGTCTGTGCGTCTACTTTCACGCACACCACTCGTAGAGCCAATCACCGCAACTTACGGAGGCAGCTCAGCGAATGACGATGCGGAAACATATGTTTAGACCAAAAAACGCAGTCTGAGTTGTGACATTAAGCAATGCAAAACGTCACGCTTGCATTGCTTAATGTCACAACTCAGTCTGTGTTTTTTCGTTTAAACAGATGTTTCGGGGCATCGTCATTCGCTGAGCTGCCTCCGTAAGTTGCGCTGATTGGTTCTCCGAGTGTTGTGCGGAAAAGTAGACGCACAGACTTTTTTTAGAGTGAGTATCGTAGATGCTTCGTGAGCAAAGCTTGTGACTGAGATACAGATATCTGCGTGCAGGGAGCGTCCCAATCCTTACGTAGGTATTATAGCGCGTTGCAGCATAAAAACTGCTGGAGGGGCTCAACGTCACGAAGTCTCAGAGAAATTGCGTCACTTACGAACACAGCCTTTGCTGACGTCATGAAAAGGGAGGAGCTTCCGTCGGTACCCTGTTTTTGTATAAAAGATTGTCGCTTACAAGAAAAAAAAGAAAACAACAACACTACGCCTCATATTTAAAGTATCTCTAAGCAGTGAGTGGGTATTGCAGCGGAGGGTTTTCGTTTTCATTCCCAACTTCCTTGGACATCATCGCTGATCGGCGCATGCACTAAAATGAGAATTTCAACTGAACAACATCGCACGTCGCAATGTTCCCCGGGAATATTTTAGATGACAGTCATAAAATATCAATACGTAGTAATTCAACTTTTCGACGCATATAGTTTTTTATTCCATGGCACTACAATTGTTTTCTTGTTGTTTTTTCACTGACTTTTTTTAGTTGCACTCACAATATTATCGATTTCTGTGTTGTTTTTTTTTTACAAAATATCTAATGTTTCCGAGGGCTGTAATTTCCTGATTGACATAAAACGCATATCGCTGCAAATTTTGATATTTCCTTGAACACGTTTTATTCTAAGGAATGTCCCAGAAATTTGGCCAAAAGTTTTGATCGGAGCCTCTCCTGCCGCCCTTTTGAAGCAACAAACTAAAGGTTATTTTTCTTACTTTCTTTCTTTCTTTCTTTCTTTTAAGAGAGGTGGGGGGGGGGGGGGGGGGAGTTGGTATTCAGGTATTGCATCCGCTGGCAAGATATCCCGGGAATGCTGCGAGAGTCGTCCAGCCATTCGCTGAGCCAGTATGAGCCGCACACAGCTTGGTCTGCTTGGTCGTCGCTGCTTGCGTTCGGAACGCTTGCACAAAACCGTTGGCCCTAGTCACCTTGAAGCGGTTTTAATGTGGCGATTTCAGCTATCTCGGCATCGTACTTTCGTTGTTGGAAAGGGCGTGAACCAGGCCGACGCGACCACATTCCCACAGGGCGCGCCGATCACTGAAAGGCTATACAAAATAAACTTAGCAAATTACGAGGCAGATGTAACGTTTCCTGAGCTTTATGTTTCTCGCCCAAAGTCTAGAGAAGACCGTAGCCTTAATTACAACCAGAGCAACCAACTCTCTGGGCTTCATCATCATTCGCTGGACGCTTTTCGTACATCGTACACGATGGCCTCCTCTATGAAATTGGCTTCCATATGCATAAACAATGCGCAAGTTATCCGATGAAATGCGGTTTGCAATTCGCTCGTCTCATCTCACTCGATGAAGTCACTTTGTCCCTAGACAACTCTTTTACCGAAGGCCCTTTGATCCATCCGCTCATGGAATAAATCTACAAATAGAACGGCCCGCGGGCTTTGTTCACTAAGCATCGGAACATTTTCGCACCTAGGATGTCTCCAAGGTTCTCATCGTAAAATACACAATGCATGTCTCGTGTCGAACTATACTGGAGGAAAAAAGTTCTCGAACTGTTTTTCTCCACCAGCATGTCATGTTTTTTGTTGTTGTTTTTTTTTTCGCTGACTCGAACCCGTAAAAAGAGTCGCACAGCTATTCCATCATACTGGACCACTGCTGAAGCGACGTCCATCAAGTGTCTGAATTAAGTTGCCAGGGGGTCTTAGCTTCGCAAAGTTACGGGCGTATGCTCCAAGCAACACGAAACACATCTCGTTTGCTCGGGGTTTTCTGTAAATATCCGGGTTTCCACATTTCACAGCTTTGCCTGGGAGGTCGTTGTTCCTGTTGAGGTTGTCAGAAAGACGGGTTCCAGAACTGCGCTCCAGTCACTGGCCGTTTACGGCGTATAAATCGAGCCACCGACCGACCGCACTCGCTTGTGCGGCTCCTAAAGTTAAAGAAACAACAAAAAAACATGATTTGTTGTGACATAACGCCCTGTGCCTTATTTTTCCTAGACAGAGGACAGGCTTGTCCCAAACCTTCACTCTGAAATCATGCTCCTCTGCGCAAATTGTGAACTGGAACCGTACAACGGGACAAACCTGGACATATCACTCTGAGCCCTTGGAACAATAAGGACGATGTGAAACCAGGCCACTCTAATACACTTATACCACGTCCTACACTTCTCAAGCCCCCTGTATATATACTAGAATGAGCTAAAATCACAGTCATGTTTCTCAAAGGAAAATTTAAAAAAAAAAAACGGACAGTAATGATATAACGCAGGCGAACTTATTCACTGACACGCGTGAAAATCATTAAACAAGTAACAAGAAACAAGAGAAAAATAATAATCGTGCTATTTTCTCGGTTTCTCTGTGTCATCTATTTTGAAGTTTTGAATCATTGAAAAAGAGTAGTTTATGTTGTTGTTTTTATCACCGATCGGTCGATATATCAATCCGTTTAATCAAGAAAATGAGCACCTTGTGTTCGTAATCGCGAATGGGTAGCTTTGCTGTCCTTCATTATGACTACGCTTGCACCCTTTAACGTACTTCCATTCTAGTGATAGTGATAGAATTTTGAGACACCTGTGTGGCTCGGCAGTACTTTGAATTCTCAGATTGGGCGTGTAACGCATTGTACTCAGGCCTGACTTGGATGATTGCAGGTTGCCTCGTGAACGGGAGACAGTACCTGGAAGGCGACGCTGTTCCATCCGACGAGCGGGACCCGTGCGTGGTGTGCACTTGCAAGGTAATTCGGAGAGCATTCGGAACTACAAACGCCTCTAAAGAAAGATGTCAATTTAAGGCGTTGCAGAGTGGCATTTCTGATCTTTGGCATGTGTTTCTTTTGCTATCTTAGGGTTGACCGTCAAGGTATCGCCATATTCATTCTTATTCTCCATTAATCATACCACATTGGAGCATTCTATTAAGTATCCCTTCTTTCTCTTCGTCCCTTCAACAATTTTCTCTAACTCGTGTTTATGTTTCTTCTTTTTTTTTTCTCTGAACTTGCGAAATAAGTTTGTTTGGTTTAGATTTTAAGAATCTCCGCAAACAACACTTCGCTAAAGTGACACATAAAATGGAACCTTCGGAGACAAAAACAATAAGCGCATATTTTTGTACGTGTATATTTGTATCGAGCAGCGCCTTGCCAAATTCCATTTTCATGGCCAACTTGCGACTCAGCAAATTGCGTGCTTGGCTCTTTGTTGCTGTTTCGCGGTTCTCGATAAGGTGCTTGTGTCACGCGGTGGGGGCCTCTGCTACTCTACGCCGCTAATTCGAAAAGCAGCCAATTAATACGCAGCTTCCAGGTCCGCTCATTAAGAGCAAGAGATGATTAATGGCGAGGCAAATGCGACTTGTATATTAATACTCATAACTTATTTCATTTTCATACGTAGGCGGTGGAGGACAAGTAAAAGGGCTGTATAAAGAGCTCGATAAGCACCGGGCTGATCAGAATCTCAGGAAATTAATAGAGTTTTAAGATTTCTTTTTCCAAACGCAGTTTCATAAAACCGACGAACGAAAGTCAAAATAAAGACTGGTAGCAACACACCACACTTACCTTTCGTTGCGGACGCGTTCATAAATAACGAGTGATCGATGGCAAAAATTATTGAAGACTTTCCGGTATGATTTCATTGCGGCATGCGTATTGACAACGCAACGTATACAAAGAAAATATTCCCAATCCACGAGAGTTCTTGCGAGCTAAGTTAGAACAACATGCAATGGCCGAGGACGACGTAAATAAACAACGCAGTTCCTGGAAGCGTTGTATGACCGGGAAATTGCGGGCGTTTTTATTGTGCAAGTTGGAGGAGGGGTGAAGCGGGAGGCCGAAGTGGGGAATGCATTGGAGTTGGCCATCTATGTGAACACCTCGACGGATCGCTGCCAGCGCCCGCAATTAATATCTAGCGGGTCTTCCGCGAGTAATTGCCATGGTGTTTGGGTCTCAATTTACATTTAATGACAACTGTTTCTTAGAATGTGCTAATGGTGACCGTTTCACACCCAAGAAACGCCAATAGTGAGATAGCACTTCTCGCGTTCGAGACGTTTTTGTTTGCAAGATAGACGCCTCTGATAGTTATTTAATTACTTTGGAAAGCTCAGCGCCGTCCAGTAGCCCCGGGGTGCGGTTGCAGCAGACCATAAAAACGCATTCGCTAAAGACGTCATTGGCTAACGCGGTTCAGTCGAGGTGCGAGGAGAATTTCGTTTCGTGCCTCCTGTCTTTTTGTGAAATCAACACTGTCGAATAACAAAAACATCGGCAGTACAAAGACCCTTTAAATAATACGTTTTGCGCGTTTTTGTTTTTTTTTCTTTAGCTAATTAAAGAATACAATGCTTAGGTGCCGTAATGGTTTAGTTAAAAGAGACGATCATTTTTATCTTGCTTCCTAGAGTTTTAGAGCTCTGTATTCCAGATAAGACGAATGTGTTCGTGTCTCATTAATTTTTTTTATGTAAATTTTTTATTGGAAAGCCTACATACGCTTAAATGGGTCTCGTGAGCACGCTCTGAAAATGGTGGCATCTATACTCTCCCACTAGACACGTGGGCTTTAACCCCTTGAAGCCGAAAACGAACGAGAAGTTATTGGCTCCTGTAGTACAACCCGCCCTTGGACAGTGAATATGATGTCCTATATGCCCAGTGTTCGATGTGATGCCACTTTTCTACGAAACAAAAATGTTTGCCATTAAGCCACTTTCATCTTTTGCTGAAACTGTAACCATTTACCCGTAGTTTCCTTTTCTGCTGGTCATAGGCGGTGAGAAGAGCGAGAAACCGAAATAAATGCTAGTATTTCGGCCGCGTGCGTGCCCTGCTATAGGACCACAACTATCGAATCGATTTGCGAGTAGGTAATGCCCTCGGCGTTCCAGCTCCGTTCGAACGACAGCTCGATGATTCGATCAGTCCACGAAGCTAATAGAGTCCCTGGAGCGGGCTTCATCGGGGCAATGAATCCACGAGAATGAAATACATTGGTCGAGTCCGTGTTCCGCTAACGACCGGGAAAGGACGGGAATAAGCGGAGGGAACAAAGAAAAGGCTCGAACATCTGCGCCCTTCCGGTCGATGAATCTTCTGCGAGATGCGCACGGTCCCCTAAACACGAATGGCTGTGCAGTCTGTTTACATGCGCCCGGACGGATCGAAGCCGGTCCAGACGATAAGCATACGCAAAACGGAAAGGCTCTGGTTGCGGAGAAAGCTGCCCATGTTCCCAAGGAACATATCCCCGCCGGTTCCCCTTTTTTTCTTCTTCTTCTTTTGGGGACATCAGGAAGGGCGACGTGCCGGTGATCAACAGAGCCGCGCTCCCTATCCACCGTCCTCGTCTGGGAGCTGCTCGTCGATTTTCATATCTGCATCAAATTCTCATTACGGGCACCGAGTTTACCCTTGCCATCGTTCGTAAATGCGCAAATATGCTCCAGTCCCTTTATGATCGTTCGTGTATTTAATTACTTTTCCCCATTATGCGTTTAGGCTCCCACGTGGTACTTGCCATTTAAAGCTATCATAACCTTCTTCCTTTTTCCCAGTTTGCTTCCCCTTTCCTTAAACGAAAATTAAAGATTTCCCCCCGGGAAGCACACTTTGTGTGTGTGTGTGTGTTTGTGTGTGTGAGGGGGTATCCCCCACACTCCTGTAAACATATTCATTCATTCATTCATTCATTTATTCATTTATTCCTTCATTCTTGAGTTGAAGATTTCCACCAACAGCTAAACGCCTTAATTATGGCGTACCACCGGTATTCAGTGTTCGCAGTTTTCGCATCGCTTGTTTCGTTTTGATTGTATTATGGTTCATAATACATTCAAAACGAAACAAGCGATGCGAACACTGCAATATTGAAAGTACAAAGACAACATTGAAATTCACTTGTCCTCCTTCATTCCCGCTACCACTACGTTTTTAAAAACTCTAAAACTCATAAAGGCATCTTTTGCGGGTGACGTAAGATTTTGCAGCTGACGTATATGCCATATAATGTCTAAACAAAACCACCACCACCTTAGTTGACTCAGAGGGCTAGTTGCCTTCTTCTCCTACCCTCAATTAGCTAGGGCGTTAATAAGAGTGTTTATAAGCATGGCCAGGCCCGATCACACTGTTAGTTCTATACGGCACGAACATAGATACGTACTCGTTTAAGAATAGAAAGGGAACTCAGTCTCGAAGCGGAGGTTCGAAATCTGATTTGAGACTCGGAGAGCGAATGAGTCCAGTATACATAAGAAGGTCCATAGCTAAGATCAAAAGTCAAATCCCGTATTAACTCAAATACGCGATCAACGCAGCGAAGTGTGACATTTCGAATGCATACCGCTCTCGAGGGGTGAGGCTAAAAAAAATGATTGATTTTATATCGATCATACGAATAAAGTCGGTATACTCGAAATGGGTTTCAGCAGCATTCTTTGAGGTTTCTAGCGGACATTACAGTTCTTTTTCTTTGTTGTTATAGCATGTTATTTTAGTACAAACTTTGTCTTTTTTTTTTTAGGGGGATGGTGGTCACGCCTTTGATTTCTGGTTCTTCGCATGCACTGTTCGAACGCCGAACGCGAACGCCAAACGCCGTAACGCCATAACGTGGTAGTCCAGGCGTCAGGCATTCTGCGTTCGCCGTCCAACAGTTAGTGGATTTCACCCTGCTAGAGACAAAGCCCGTGACAGGTTAAGAGCTCAAGTGAAGCTCCTCCCACCTCTTTCCACTTTAGCAGAACAAACACTGGAGAGGAGGCGACATCCTCTCCAGCGTTTGCTTTGCTACATAGGAAAGAGGTCGGAATAACATCCACTTGAGCTCTTAACCTGTCACCAACTATGGCTTTATGGCTGCCCACAAATCGTCGCAGTTTTTTAAGGAGAAAAAGACTAAACTACCTATTGCTGAATGACCCAAGCATCAAGGAGAATGCCGGGAATGTATGTCTACGCGCCGCGCGTGCCGGCTTCTGCAGCAGTAACCGTTCATAAAGCAAAAGCCTCAAACAAATGGCATCTTGCACGCGCGTTCACCGTCAACGTATTACTTCGAATATTTTTTTACTGCAAATAGCTTATACGGGGAAGGTAAACGCGTGCGGCGCGTGTACCTATATACATTCCCAGCGTTTTCCTTGGTGCTTTTGTAATTTAGCAATAGGTCCATATTGAGCAGTGTCAAGCTCACAATCGTAGCATCGTGGGTTCGATGATTCCCGATGGGGACGCGTTTAAAATTTCGTTCTCTTTCTTCTCGATCTACGACCATTTTCGTCGATTGTCCTCCGAAGTACGCGTTACACATTTCCTAACGGTTTCCGTGGCGTTCCGTCACACCTTCCTCACGCTGAAGCTGGACGAGAGACGACGCAAAGCGGCAGACGCGTCCGTCTTGGCGTCGCCGCCTGCTATGAAGTCGTCTGCTGCTTGCCCAGGTGTTGCAGTGACATCAGAACGACGCCAAGTTATGATTGTCTTTGATTGAAAGTATTGTGGGTAGACTTGAGCCAATATGAGCTCGGTGATCTGACGTCATCGCAACCCCTGTGCAAGAAGCAGACGAGCCTGCGCTCCGCATAGCGTCGCGCTCGTTGTAATACGATGCAAGACGCGTTAAAGCCAATGCTGACGCAAACTGTGCGGAACTAAAGTTCATCTGCTTCTTTTGTAAGGGTTGTGGTGACGTCAAAACGCCGAGTTTTGATTGGCTCTGAATGAAGGATAGTGGGTAGACCTCAAAGCAAGCTACCTTGAGGTCTACCCACCACCCTTCAATCAGAGCCAATTAGAGCTCGGCGTTCTGACGTCACCACAACCCCTGTAAAAGAAGCAGACGAACTTGCGCTCCGCATAGGCGGCGCTGCGTGCCGGATCCACTATAGTAATGACGTTTTGGGAGAGAGGGGGGAGGCAGGAAGGCAGGAGCGAGCCTTGTCTTCTAGGTGGTATTGCATGGACCCGCTAAAGGAATATGGAGTTGGGGGATGATGCGGCGAAACGTTGGTTCGCAATTCGACCTGTCGTTCGGGTCTCGGCTTTCCTGCGGCTAGTGGTATTACATACATGCCCTCACTGGGAGGAGCAATCGTGGCCTGTCTATCACGCCGTCCGAGTGAAGGCCTCAGAGACTTGATGGTGTACGAGCGATACTTTTTGCTTTCAAATAATCGTTTTTTTTTTTAAATATATTTTTAACGTGTTCTTTTTTCTTTGTGTGGATTTGCAGGATGGCAGAGTCACGTGCACCAAAAAATCGTGCCCCGTGCTGCCCTGCCCTTACAACCGGATCGCGCAGACTCCAGAGACTTGTTGTCCCGAGTGCCGCGGTGAGTATACTTACTTTTGCATACGAGCTTGTATCGGTGTCCTGTGTCAAATCGACAACATACAGTAGTAGTGCAAAGTTGCTATGATGTGAGGTTCGCTCGCATATCCACATTCGCTAGCTCTCTCCCCCCCCCCCCCCCCCCCCAAAAAAAAAAAAAAAAATGTTTCAACATTAGGAAACCGGGACAAAATGCGTGCTGTAAATAGCAAATCGTGCTTAGTACACAGTACACTGGGAGCAGGTAGCCGACACGCAAGCTTGAACGTCGCGCCAGGTGGACAGTTCCATATCGTTCGGAGGAAAATTGGACCGAGCGCATATTATTCCGGGCCTGTAAAGAATGCGCGTCCAGAGCTTTTATCGGCGGCCGCTCGAGAGCCCGTAGCTTTAACTGCATACTCACCGTCTCGGCTGCGCGCTTCGAGTGGATCTTTGATCGTGAAGACTGTGCATGGCGTGACACTGTTACGCAAACAAGCAATCGCGTTTTTTTTTTTCTTCTGATTTTTGTTTAAAATTGAAAGGCTGTCGTCAGAACTGCTACAGTAGCTTACGGATGCCAAGCTTTTAGCTTTACGCGGGGCGTCACTTTCGGATGCCAAGCTTTTAGCAGGAGCTCCTCCTTCCGTCGTGTTTGGGCTGCGCGTGTATGCTCGAAGCTCGCCAGACGCCGAAGTGAGCTAAGACGCTCGGCTGAAAGCTGGACAACTCAAAATCCTCCATGCCGGTCCTTTCCTGTCAGTAACAACTGCAAGCACGGCGTCTGTAAGCATGGTATGCCCCATGAGCGCAGCAAGAACGTGCAGCATGCGCCTGAGTGTAGCTTCGCCAGGCTTTCGATTGCACGCGATAGCTCACACGAGCAGAGCCATAGCGGCGACCAGATTCCCTTCTTGCAATCGTGTCTAAAGCCGTTGTCACACCAAAAGGCAGTCTGCGTACAGATTCGAGCGCGAGTCACCGCGAGATCCGTGCTTCGAATGCCGCATGGCAATGAGTTCATGGAGGAGCATGGCACGCGGCATTCGAACCACGGATTTCGCTGTGACTCGTGTTTGGTGACTGTCTCTTGTATGACGTAGAGCCACTAAATAAGCTACGCTTCAGAGTAATGGCACCTCAGTCACCTTGGTGCTTAAAATCATGGTTGCCAGTTATCTGAAACTTCATCTGAAATCGCAGAAAGCGGTTTTTTTTTTTTCGTTCTCCAGAAATGTTAGAACAGTTCGTGACAAAGCAAAACGATATCACCTGAGCTACCTACAACCATGTCTAAAGCTAAGGAAGTTGCATTTCTCAATTGTGACGCTCGACAGTTGTGTTTGCTCTGCTCTAAGCACCAAGATGGCGGCGCCCACTAGCAGATCGGATAACGGAGTGCCGATGCTCTAAGCGTAGCTCATTTAGTGGCTCTAGTATGATGAATGAGCAGTGTGATCCCTGCTTAAAGGGGCCATAAACGCTTTTTCGGCTTCTTCCTCCTTAGCTTTAATCGTTAGCTCTAATCAACGTTACTAAACCACCCAGTTGGGTAACTGCCACAGACACTGCTCTGAAAAAGTGTCCCCGATCTGTCCTCGAGCACCGAGCTAATGGCGAACACAACGCCGCCATTTCTCCCGCAGCGGCCACTCGAGGAACTGCACGTGACGTCTATTTTGGCTTTAATCCGCCATTTTGGCGACGAAACAGATACAGCGGAAAAAGTTACAGGGGTGCCAGCCCCGTCTCCCCAGCGGACGCGCCGCGTCGTACTACCGAAGTTAAAATGCGCCTAGGTCGGGACGCGCTACCTGAAAGCACCGCTGAAGCATGGTTGTATAAAAACAATATTAATTGTGCCGCAAAACCTTGCAAACTAAAGATTTTAAAAACATCACGCGCCCTTCATTTTGTACTAAACTCCAACATATTTCATACAAAAAGAATCTTTTCCGTTTGTTTTTACGTAAAATATGCTTTCTAAAACCTTAAGGTGAGTACAGTACAGACAAAGGATAAACAGTGGCGCTGTTGTCGTATTTAGCTCGGTCTCGGTGGACGCCAGCGGCCCAGGTTTCGACGGCGAGTTTCCCAACTGAGTGTTTTAGTAACGTTGGCTCTAATCCTCAACTCAAAAGCGAAAGGAGAAATGACGTAGTCGTGACGTCTTTGTGGTACACAAGGTTCCACCGTGCTTTTTAAGCACACTATAAAACTTGTCATTCGGAAGTCATGATAAGTGCCGTCACGGCACTTATCATGAACGACAATCCACGAACGACAATCCAAATTTTCGTCAACGGATTGATTGTTGACAAGCGGATACGTCCGAATGACGCAGTGCTCGTGTCCAGTGCGTGAGCTGGGGTCGGCTGACGTGCTTTGGGTACCGCGGATGTATCACAGTGAAAAGGCGGAGAGCTGTCGAAGGAAAGAAGCTACAAAATAGTGCGCTATATTTTCAAATTTCCGTAGCGAAAAGCATGCTTTTGAGTGAAGTTCCAATCTGAAATAATTTATCCCAGCCCAAAATTCGTTTCATGGCCCCTTTAAGTGAGAGCGAAGCCAATGCTATGTGCGGGAGTGTTTTTGCTTTGTAGTCGCTGTTCAGAACGACAGCCTCGCACTTGTGGTTGGAAGTGCTCATTGGGGGCACCTTAGTGTTAAGCGGTAAAATTCCGACAGTACCTTTTAGAGCTAAAATACGAAAAAGCGCCGGAGTCGTATTTGTGCTAACAGTATCGCGTAGTGTACGTCCACGCCGCCTTCATTTTTCTTCCTCGAAACAAACCTACATTGGCTTTCAGTCAATGTCCTTCCTTCTTCTTGTTCGCTATTACGTATCATGAACTAATTATCTACTACATTTCTTATCCCTGGAACGGGATTTGAAAGACTTCAAGTTTTATTGCAGCCGAGGGGATAGTTATATGTGATTCTAGCCAGGCAGACCAACGTTACTAGATCAGCTAGGTGGTCTTGGTGGAGTTAATTGAGCTGACGAGTGTTTCAAATGTGCAGTTTTCCAGTGGGGTGCCTCACGCTCGTTCACCACTGTCCATCAGCATTTGACGAGACGTCGTGAGGGTGAGGACGCGGAGTGAGGGGGTCTGACACCACACGCTTGGAGACGCCTGATAAATGTTTTTTACCTTCGGCAGCAGGCGTTTCGATTACCCGCGTGGGTCCGTTTCTCCGAGCTCGGTCACTTTCCGTCGGTTTAGTCGGCCAGTCTGTCACCAGGCAACGCACACGAGAACGAGCGATGCGGGTCGACATTCCAGAGACGTTGGAAGCTCTCGCGATTCCTTGCCCCTCTCCAACGTTTGTCTGGCCGTCAAAGGCGCTCCAGTCTAACGGCGCACTTGAGAAGAAAGCGCCCTATGGATGCCCCGCGTTCATTCATCATGCCGTCGGCGGTTGTAAACTCTGGCCACCCCGCGCATAAACGCCCTTTTGTTTGGCGCTAATGCGGCAGGCGAGCGAGTCGGCGCCAGGCTCGAGCGCCCTGTGTCGCCTTGATTTGAATCGGCTCCTCGTTCATCTCGATTTCTCGGCGTCGCAATAGCAGCCGCTGGAGTTCCCGTCCGGGCAGACCCAGCCGCCCGGCTGGGTTATGGAGCGTGGAAGACCACTTCGTGAGCGGAGGGCTGCTTTTTTCAACCACATCTTTTCTTTCTTCTTTTTCGGCGCAGCTCGTCAGTGGTGCGCGGGAGTTGTGCGCGACACGTCTGTGACACTTCCGCGCTAAGATAGAAAGCTCAAAGATTTGTGCGTTTCAGTTTGTGTTCACGTGTCAACCGCTTTGCGTAATTACTTCTTTTTGCATTTTTTTTTCTGTCCTCTGCATATTTGCTTGGTCGCCGCGTCAAAATATCCGTAACGTTGGGAACAGCGCGGAAGCTAAATTTTGGTCACTCTGTTTTTGACGCGGAAATGAGTTAGCATGTGGCAAAGACCGACGTTAGTTAACACTAGCGTTGCGTCGGCTTGATCTAGATAAAAGCCCGAAACATCAAACCTCGAGGTTTCATGAACCCATTCATTTCATTCCAACGATCCCGTTGATACTTAACCGGAGACCGCCTTCTATTAATATTTCCAAACAAGAAAGCGACCAGCTCTCTCTTTTTTTTTTTATTGCTGATATTCTGGAATACTATTTAAACGTAAACATATATGACATACGTTTGTCTGGTTCGATTAAAATTATGATAACAGATAGCAACTACCAACCATGCAATCCCTAAGTGTGAGGGGGCCAACGTTTCAAAACCAACTCAGTTTCTTTTTCAGGCGCTATTTGATGTAAGTAAACATTCTTCGTTTATTCAATTAAAAAAATAAAATTGGGCGTTCATCGAAATAATTGATGGAAAACAAAAACTGAATCGGCCGCCCCTCTCTCTCTCTCTCTCTCTCTCTTTGTATATATATAATCGGCATTCGTCTTCTGAAGTTAAGCGATGGGAAAATCCGCCCGGAGAATACATTGGCATTCGAGGTTCATCATCTAGACGAGAGGAAATTGGAATTAGTTCGTCGCTAATTTCATGGGCGTCTGGGAACAGAATCTGACAGTTATTGCAGGGTTATAAGAATAGATGGTAACCACCGTGAAAACAACGACCTGATGACCGGCTCTCCTGCTGATTACCATACAACGAGACAAGGGAACGAAAGAAGAGAGCTAGATTTTTATGTATATTAGCAGAGACAGCACTTGTCCTCGTCGTTGTATCTCGTTTAATTAACTCAATTATTATCTTGGACGGGTATTTGCCAAATCATTTTATTGGAGTCAGCGTTGTTCGCTCTTCTCGCGTCTCTGCTGAACTGACGGGTAAAATTTCAGGATCCAAGGAAGCCAAGAACTTCTGCCGCACGCAACACGCGGAAGTATGCACGGTGCCTTATTTGCTATTTTACAGCCCGGGACAACCCCAGCGGCGGAGCCATCGAGCAGAAGTTGCCCTTCCGATTCGAATGGAGATCACGCCTTATAGCTGCAACTCA